AACGAAGCACACATTTCTCAGGTTAGACCTCCTAAGCACTGGTCCTTGTACAGACTAAAAAACTAAAACACAGAATACAAACTTATCTATTTTATGGCCCATCACCGACTCCCTAACAAGCTGCTAAAAGAGTATGACTGGATGAAAACAGAATTTAGAGTAAGAAGGCCTGGATCCCAGTGCAATTCCGCTCCTACTGGCTGTAATGACTTGCAAGGGAAGAGGAAGGTGCAGGTGGTTGGGGAGTCTCTTGAATTGGTGTTTCTTCATATGCCCAATGGAAATAGCTATACTGCTTTGTAGGGCTGCTATCTCATTTAAACGATACAATAAGTACAAAAGTACTTTAAACAGATATAAAAGTTGTGACCATGGGGTAGAGCTAGAAATCAGACATAAAAGTCTTACTGTTGAGCAACTTTAGATGCCTAAATCACACAGAATATCAGCTGCACGGTAGTGTGCGATCGAATCTTGAGCATCCACCCATTGCTTCAGTACTGTCACCATCTTTCCCGACAAATGGTTATTGGGATTTGGCCTAGACTTTTTCAAGGACTTTCTTTTGTGTGTTGCAAGAGTTATTTCACTATACTGAATGGGAACTTACTAGTGCTCCATCACTGCCTTTGTTGCTTACTTTGGAATTAGAGATATTAAGCAAAATTCCTCTTATATGTGCCAGTTTTTCCACAGTAGTCAGGCAGGACACCACTGTTCCTCTTCCCCATACCTTCAACTGTGTCTCAAAGATGGTTCCTAGTTTTGTAAGCATCTTAGTCAAGGTGCTTGGTATGTGTTCACTTATGAATTGCTCCAACTTGGTAAGAAGGAAATAGGCCCTGATTGTTCTGGGAACTCTGGTTCTATTTATAAACATTCATTGGACATCCATTTTCACTTCGATCGAGAAGACACTTAACATCAAGTAGGGTAAGCTGATGTTATCATTAAAGTAATGAGAGTACATTTCCGTTCACAGCTTTCTTCTCTGAAGGCTTTTTCATGTGTTAGCTTCTCTGATGACTCATGTCCTCCAGTCTGTCCAGCTGTCCTTTGGAAGAGTAAAGCCTCATTCCACTAGAACAAACTCTTGGCTTCATGCAAAAAAAAAAATCTCAATGTCTCCCACTAACAATGCTCAGGGATAAACAAAAAATTCTCTTAGATAAATGCCAAGTTTCATGCAGAAAATGTACCTCATGCTGCTCTGGAGGCATAGTGACTTCGAATAGCTCACAAAACAATTTTAAGAATCGCACACTTCAGTTTTCTTTTTAAAGAGAAGGAACAAGACAACACCATAAACAGTGCCATGATAATTACAGCTTCGTGCTTGAAAATATGTTATCAGATAATTTAAGTCCATCCTCAGATATATTACAACATTCTTTTCCAGAGATTCTGTATTTCAGTAGTGTTGTTTTCAGCCTTAGGATCTACTATAATTTAGAATCATGCCATGGCCACAGATATTCCTTTGGAAGGTTTCACACAAACATGGTTCCTCTTTCAGAATGAATAAAAGTACACAATTTATAAGCTCTGTATGTATTAATTATCAGAGAAAACTCTTGGATAACTTCAAAGTGATATCTCAAGGTTATTCAGAGACAAACGCAACCTTCCTTTTTATTTTTCCCCTAAAAACTATCTGAAAAAGATAAGCTTCAGAGCTAGAAAACAGCAGTAAAGCACAGGCTTTTCAATTTTCTAGCAATGATACCTTTCCTCCCATTCATTTGAATAGTTCATTGAAAAACTCTTCTTCTCTTTTAAATTGTGAATTTATCCTAAATTATAGTAATTTATAGCAGATCGTTCCTTGTTCATGCTAAGCATTTATCACTGGAATGGAGAGTCCAAGTAAAGACATACTTTCTAATTTTCCAGGGAAGTAGATTGCTCCAAATGCAAGCACTTGAACCAAGGCATGCAGCCATGCTTTGCATGAATACGGATAAGGACTCACTGTCTATTTAATTAAAGTAGGTAAGAATTTTCTTCCACCTTCATCTTCCTTTGGTATTTCCTCTCTTACTTATACAAGGCAATGATTGGAGACCTACTCAACCATTGCCGATGGAAATATGGGCATCCTCAGGAAAACTGCTATAGCCAAAACGTAAATCCAAGTACATGGCAACTGTTTGCAGCATAAAGACTTTATCTTCTCTTCAAAGCTATGAAGTCCCTCAAATGTTATGGCATGGTTCATCCTTTGTGGTATTTATCTAATGCAGTAATGCAAAGGTCAAAAGGTATAATGGGGATGTAGAGGGATTCACAGATACACTAAATCTACCACCATTTCTAAAGAAGTGAATTTGAAAATTATCTAGCTGAGATACAGTTTGGGGTTCTTGATTGTTTTATTAAGAACTGACTTGAGAAAACAAAAGGGTGGGCTGTGAATCTCAGGGATTTGCCTTTCTCCAAAGCCAACAGTAGGGCTGTAGCTAACTTTTTGCCACAGTTATGGCAAAAAGTCTATGTCAGCATCTCATCAGTTTACCCTGGATGTTAAAGATAACTGAAATATATTATCAGTGACACCAAATTCTTGAAAACAAAGCATATAGCTTTGAGCAGAAGTGGTCCTTCCATCTCTCATAAATCCAAAAAGAAAAGGATGCACAAAATCCTATGAGTCAACTCTTCCCAGTCTATAGGAAGAGCACCAGCCCTTCTGAAGTGATACTGAATTAGAATGGACATGCAACTGGAAGAGCATGTCTAAATCCTGAAATTACTAGCCATGTGATCTTGAACAACTCTTTGAACCTCTCTGAACCTTTACTTCCCCACCTGAAAAGTGAAGACACAATTGTTATTTCTATCATTCACACTGCAGCGGTGACTGGGCTTTTTAAACCTATGAGGCTTTAGGTAAATGTCACCTTTCATTGCCATCACTATAGTGATCCTTATTTTACCAGCAACAGTAAGCACGTTTGTCTGGTAAAAAAAATAAGGAAACAGACACATATTAAAGGAAAATTTCAAATATCCACTGTTGTCATTAGGACAGCCAGTACAGGAGAGTCAGGAATGTTACTTTCTTTAACTTGACTATCCAAGGAAGGAATTTTAAGTTAATTTTATGGCAGATTTCAATATGTTTTTGGGGAGAAGGAATATCTTAGTATCTATAAAGGTATAACATCTCTACCTAGCTGTTTTAAGCTGAGGTGGTTCTGCCTCCCAACATCTATTTCCACTATTTTATCTATCTATCTATCTATCTATCTATCTATCTATCTATCTATCTATCATCTATCTATCTATCTATCTATCAATCATGTATCTATCATCTATCAATCTATCATCTATCAATCTATCATCTATCTATCTATCTATCTATCTATCTATCATCATTTGCCTACTTACCTACCAACATAGAGGCTGACTACCTCTCCGTATCTCCTCCTACAGTGGGGTATTTAAAGATACAGGCCTGGAGCCTGGATCCTAATCCAGTCCTGCAACTTATTAGTTATTATTGGGCAAAATACTTAACATTATTGCTGTGGCTTAATTCCTAATGTGGAAATCATAATAGGATCAGCTTCATAGGGATATGTTTTGCCGTAAGGATGAAATAAGTTAATTCCTGTGAAGTACATAAAATAGTGCTGCCATATATCATAAACACTCAATAAAAGTCAGTTTTTCAAGTTCTCTCACGGCTAGAAACCACCATTTGGCAGTGATTATTTACCAATTGGTGACACATGTTCTCTTGTTGGTAGAAATTTAAATTTAAATCAAGTATTTGTTCATGGGTTTTTAATGGGCACATCTTACTTTCTTAAGTAAACTGCAAATCTCCTGAGCAATGGAGAGCTTTGATTACTGAGCATATTCTATGTGCCAAGAACTTGGCTAAGTGCTTTCTATAAATATTTCATTCATTACTCACACTAACAGTATAACATACTTTCATTTCTATATTATAGATAAAACTAAACAAAAACCGAAGGGAGAAAGAGTAATTTGCCCAAGTTTTCTAAGTTGGTTTGTACAAGAGGTGGTTCACTTTCTGTATCCAAAGTTATTTTTTATCTATTTTTTTATATCATGTTAAGGTAGCCACTCATTAACACTGTTACCATCCATAGTCTATTTTCTTGCAGCTCTGGATACATATATTTTGTCACTATGATAATTAAAGCACACATCTTTAGAAGTTAGCTCTTCAATTTTAATATATCCTAATACACAGGCCTTATTTTCCTGTGAAACAGCCTTCACCACAGAAAATCTAAGAGTCACTGGTTTAAAGGTACCAGGTTCAAGTCCCACCAACTCCTTTTATAAAGCATTCCTGATGCTCCTCATAGAACTTTTAAAATCTGTGACATCTGATCTTGACCTTCTTACATGGCTGACCACTTTCCACCTAAAGTAACAATTATTTGTCTGTGTTTTATTGTCTTTGAATCATTATAAATTCCATGACAAATTATATGCTCCCTTTACCTCCATGATTAGCATATACCTCATAAACTTGTATTCACAGGGTGGCAGGATAACCTATTCAGAGTTACTTGCCATTTTGAAAAGGGGAAGCTAAAAGCAACAAAAAAATCTTTCCCTGAACTCAGATGGGGAAAGAATTGAGAGTGCAGAGTTCAGGCAATTCTCAACTCCAAATTTTATATCCCAATCTTTAGATCGGTGGGAAAGCTGCATATACACAGAAATGCTATTTTTCCTAATGGAAATCTAAGTTGTGAAAAACGATTTTAAAATCAAATTTGCATTTCAAAAAGCTCTAAGGAACTCTGAGATTATGGTACAAGTTATATAGCTATTTCCATTTCTGACAGTCTTCCACTGAAATTCTCAGAAGTGCTTTGGCGTATGTGTATGAGTGCCATCCCTCACACATCAGGACTGAAATATTTCACCAGTGGAGCTGGTCATACTTCCCATTATTCAGTAATGCAAATTAAATGGGACATATACTTTAACAGTCACCTGTAGACCCCACTCACCAAAGTATTCATCAGCAGGCGGATTTTCCATGTCATACAGCATCTTTTTGGTCAGGTGCTCCAGCTCATCTTCCGGGCGGAAAGAAGAGGGAGTAGATGGAGGCCCCTTAGGCCCTGCATGTCCACCCTGAAAAATAGCACATTATCCTTTCAGTGGAGTCTAGACATTGACCAAGGCCATCATCATGAAGCAGTCATGTTTGCACTGGGAAGAGAAAAAGCACTAGACTTGTTTATTTAGAGAGCTGGGCATTGGACTAGCACTGGACTCCTACTCAGTGTCTAACCTTGACCCATCTCTTCTTCATTTTCTTTACCTAAATGTATTATCAATTGGGCTTTAGAAATCCACGTCTACAACGGTGGGAATCTATTTCATTCAACAGTTGTCAAGCTGTTATTATGTGTCATTTGTGGACTTACTTGAAAGATAAATAAATCAAGTCTTTTCCTCTGAAAGATTTCATGGTCAAGATGAAGGTACAGGCATGCTAATAAAAACAAAGCAGCTACAGAAATTGCATAATCAAGGCATTAGGGAGGACTTCTCACGGAGCCTGGGAGGAGAGCTCCCTGCGGAGAGGCATCAGAGTAGAGAGGAAATATGCAGGTAAAGGTTGTTTGCACTCAGATTAAAAAAAAAAACAAAAAAAAAAAACCAACAGGCACCATGAGGGGCTCCTGGCAGTTATGTGTTCCTGGCCATACGTAAACTATGAGAAGAGAAAGGAGATGCGTCTAATAACATCGGAGAAGGAGTTCCCAAGAGTAAAAGACTTTTTGTTCCAATTAAAGAAGTCAGTTTTTTCCTAGCACTGAAAATAGCCAGATATAAAATGAGGACAGGAAAACCACCAGCAATGATACCAGGCTGGTGTTCGGAGAGGTGGGTAAGTCAGAAGTAAAACAGCGTAAGGGAATCAAGTGTCAGACAGGAGCACGCTTGAGATAAGCAGCACTCCAAAGCATGCAGAGAAGAAACAATGGAAGGTCAGATGGTCGATGTTCAAGAGCTCATGCTCTCTAAATAAAAGCAAATTTATGATATTTCCTTTTCCTGTATGATAACTTTGACCATTTCAAATATCATTCTGACATCCCTAATCAAAATGTTAAGCCAACAGGAACACTTGTCATTAAAAATTTTAAAATGAGGTAGCAGGCAGACACACAGACTGGGAATATTTTTGCTGAGTGTTTATGCATTTTTAAAACAGTTGGCTGATACTTTCTCTTTTCAGAATAGTTTATGAAGCTATTCCATGAAAGTGAAAGCTGTACATTCATTTCCCTCGTATCTTCATTGAATGGGAAGAGTTCTCAGGTGTGAAAACCCTGTGGAGAACCAGTCCCTGCACAAGTATTTCCATTCCTTCCATCAACATTGATTTCAAAACACCAAGGTGGGTATTAGTCGTTTGGGTGAGATCTAAACGCCCTCTCAATATATGTCAGAATGTTCACGGCTACCTTGGTGGCCTTTTCGCTAACAATTTTCCATTTTCTAAAATGTATAGAAAGTTGGAGTATAAACATGTGGAAAGCTGAAAGGGCCAATAATATTTTATGTTGGTCACTAACCTTACCCTGGAATTTTATTTCACTGTTGGAATATTTGGAGTAGAGATCAGAAAGAAGTAAATAAACTGTGCTCAAGTGTTACAGACACAAATTCAATTGCAGAATCTAAAGAATCATTACAGCCATCTCAGTGTGAAATAGGGAAACTGAGACCCAAAAAGTTGAAGTCAAGGCTAGTTATAGTGAAGGCAGGAGACATGCCCATGCTGGATTCACTCACTTATCCAGTAAATATTAAATATTAAACTTAGGACACGGTCTAAGTGTAAACATTACTAACTCTATAGTGTTGGTGTATGGATTGAAAGAACTACCTGAGTCATTCATTCCTTGGCTTGTTTATTCATCTACTACTCAATCTTTTTTTAAAAATGTTTCTATTATCTTGGTCTTTTTGAGGCAGGGTTTCAAGGTGCAATTCATACTAGCCTTGAACTCACTTTGTAGCCCAGGCTGGCTTCAAACTCATAGCAATCCTCCTGCCTCAGCCTCCTGAGTGCTGGGATTACAGGCATGTGCCAGATCTACTCATTCTTTAGAGGGCCTTTTTTGTGTACTTCTCTACAAGTATCAGGAAGGGATGAAAGATGTACTGGGCAGCACGTTTGCCTTCGAGAAGAATGGAGTGAAGTGTGACGGAGAAACACTACTAGTGACTAATTATAAGTAGCATAGTGCCTTGGGCATGTACACAGAAATGGACATTGGATGAGTGATTTGCCAATGTTAATGAACTTTAAATTGTTCATATGCTATGTACTTCTAGAAAAACATATTCATAAATACTCAGATAAGTACATGAAATCATATGATCAAGAACAATCATAGGATCTGCATTTGAGAAGGTGATCAAAATAATAAAGAAACTAATGATCAAATAGACCATCTAAATAAAGATTTTATATATATATATATATATATATATATATATATATATATACTGCATATCTGTGTATAAGCATACAATGGAACAAAGACACGTTCAAAAAATTCAGTTGCATGGCCAGGGATATAGCTCAGTGGCACAAGTGCCTGCCTGGCAAGCCCAAGGTCCTGAGTTCAATTCCCAGTACAAAAAAAAAAAAAAATGCAGTTGCAGAACAGAATATCTAAATGGCAACTCCATTTTCATAAATTGGCATAGAGACAGGAAAAAAGTCTGAGAGGAAATATACTAAAGTGTTAAGGGGAATTTTTCCCTGGGGGTAGAATTCTAGGGGACTTTCAATTTCTAAGCTTATTTCTTTATTTTACAGTAGGAAATTTTACTTTTGCAATTCAGGAAACAGGATATTTTTTTTCCATGATGATGACCGTGGTGGATATGACAAAGATCTTGGAACGGGCTTCCAACCCAAGTCAAGGGGAGATTCCAAGAACGGCAAAAGGTCAGAGTTGAGAAGCAGTTTAGTGAGAGGGAGAAAAGCTACTACAGTTCAGGGTTTAAGCCTGGAGGGAAAGAGGGAGATGGGTGAGGTAATCACTGCCTGCTCACGCTGAGGTGTTTAGGGCTTTGGCGTGAGTGACGTGGCCATGAGTGAGATCACGGCGAACTCTCAAAATTGGATGAGCTAAATTCCCTTTTGGTAGAAAATGGCTTCCATAAAAATGCATACAGAATTTATTTAAAATTTCAAGAACTTCACAGATCATAGGGAACATATCTGCATGTTCTCAGGAACATCCAGGAGTGGAAGCCATAATAAGGGATTTTTGGCATGGGAAGGATCTAATTAGATTTGGGGAGCTCTTTCTGGAGTGCAGGGAGAATGGAAGAGCTGTAAGCCTAGAATGAGCTGGGGATTTGTGGCCAGAGATAGGCCAGGGATGTATTAGAGCTGGACACAGATACTTAACTATGACACTAACTTGGTGTCCTTAGGTGAGTTTGTAAACTTTTGTAGTTTTTTAGTCCTTTCTGTACACTGGGCTTAGCAATGTACCTCAAGGTCCGTGACAGTTAAGATGAAAAACCTGTATCTCATGCTATATAGCGCTAAATCCTTTCAGACCGCTGTAATGAAGGGCCTCACTTTGAATCTCCTACCGGGCCTCTGAAGGAGGGCAGCATCCCACTGCAGCTAGGAAAATGATAATGAGGATGGGGAAGTGAACTACACCTTTTTTCCAGGTTGGCAATAAGAGGAGAGCTTGAGCCCAAAATATAGTGTCATGTGAATACAAATTCTGCACGTTTTACAAACACTGCGTCCCGTAGAGCAACACTAGAAAAGCATGAACTATTATTTGTAATAACAATTGCACTAGCAGTTTTAATGGAGTCAACAACTATTAAAGAATACTTGACAGTTGCCACTTCTAGTCTTAGGGTAAAAGCACAGAAAATGGACACAATTTGTGATCATCTAAGGCTAAATGCGTCTCTGATTCACTTCCAACATAAACAAAGGTGTCAAGACGCTGAATCTAAGCTAGAAATTCAGATTCTACCCTTTGCACTTACATTTCAAACAGAAGTCTAAATACAAAGTGCTTAACTGTCAGTATTTCACAGACTAAAAAAATTATTCCTTTTACTGTTCAAATAATCTTATTTGTATGCCATATTGTTTCTGAAATAACAAATTGGGAAAGGATCTTCTTTCTACTTTCTACTCTTTTGTATACAGATGCTCCTTAAATCAGGGTGGGGAGATGCCCTGAAAAACCCATTATCATCATACCTGCCTTTAGGGCGCCTACCCCCCTGAACATGACAGCTCAGCCGTCCTGGATCCTACGGTGTTGGGTGTCCACCTTTGCCATCTTGTGGCTGAGCTGGGTGCTAGGGCCCAGCATATTGAGAGAAGACAACACCTCAGGCTACCATCCCAGGAAAAGATCAAGATTACAAGTGTGGTTTCTACTGAGTATGTGTCATTTTCCCATGAAATGAAGTCTAAAAATCATAAGTGGAACAATGGTAAACTGGAGACCACCTGTGATGCTGAGCATTGATTTCTGGTATTTTGATGAGGAAAGGCTTCAAAAGTTCTTTTCGCAGTGTTTCTCAACCTCATTTGTTTGTAAGACTCCCCCCACCCCCAGTCAGTGTCTAATACTTAATACCTGTCAAATGAATATAGGGAAAAATACACTGGACGATTCTCCAGTTAGGTTGTTTCTGCCATCGGGGAAGATATCCTTGGACTTCCTTCCTTCCAGTGTTCAGTTCTGTAAGGAGTCTGTTATTACTTTCCTCAGGCTACTAAATAGACAACCCCTTCTCTCTGATGTTAAGGACTCATCACAGATTAAGAATAACTAACAGCTCTGTCCAATTTATTTTTTACTAAGCAAGTTCTTACACAGTACCATTGAAGTCTTGGACTGGGCACTAGAAGATGATTTGTGTTTTCATTTTTATTCCTTCAGAAGCAGAAATACAGATGACAGCAGTTATAATCTCACTGTGGCACGTGATTCCTCCCTCCGCAAGGCCCTTTCCAAAGTGCACACCTCCACATGCCTATAACTCAAATGCTCTCTATGACGTGCGATCCTGTTTTACGGATGAGGAATTGGAGCTTAAGGATATAAGCGAGG